TTTGCACAAATATATTTTAAATAAGAAACTTATATTATTGTGTGCTTATATGTATTCTAAAAAGTTTCATAAACCATTCATTACTAATTATAATTTAACAATGCATAATAATTTTTAATTACAAATTAACGTTGTTTTTGTTGCAAATGAATGATATTCAGATGTTCAAATGAAAATACATATAACAATACAAATAATCGAAAAAATATGCATTTTTGTTAGCAATTAATATCTATACATATATAATAGATATTTTTCGCTTAAATAAGCGAAGTTTACATTCTGATAATTTAATTCAGAATATGTATATACATTGCAATTATTCTTATGACTAACAATGAAATGTATGTATATTGTAATTTATGATTGAAATAATATTCGATAATAGGTTTCATATATATAACAATAGAAGTTTTGTAAATTAAATTTAAAAATTATATCGTATTAGAATAAAATTGTGATAGAGTAATGGAAAGAATGCTATTATTATACATCTATTATAAAATTATTAAAATTTTTATTATTAAAATATATTATGTATATAAATATATTAAATAAATATATTATGTATATATAAGATTAAAATAAATAAGATATTATTAAATTGATAAAAAAAATCTGTCATTTCTTTCTTTAAAAAAAAAAATTATTTTTATTGCAATTTCTATCAATTATTTTATAATATATCTTTTTTAAAGTTATATTATATAATTATGTATACGTAATAATGAATTTATTTCATTGTTTTGGAATTTATAATTTCTATTATTAAAATTATTGTTTCGATATTCTCTGTATTGAATAATCTTTTTATTTTAAATTTTTTATTGGATAAAAAATTCATAATTCACTACATTATTTAAAAAGAATTACGATTAAATAATATCTAAAATAGTATTTTTTTTAACATATTTATAACATATTTATAAATTATCACAAAAATTTGCGCAATTTATATTTCAATAATAATTTCAATAATTAAAAATATATTACATTATATAAATATAATACATTAAAATAACCTGCGATATAAGAGAATCCCTAAATAAATTTCTAAATATATAAATCTAAATAAAATCTAATAATATAACTTCCTAATCAACATAATATATTTTAATAAGAAATAGAAAAGTTAAAAATTCTTAATCTTTTTCATAATTTTTCATAAAAATTTAATAAACATATTTCTTATTCTTTATAAAATTAAGTCTTTCAAGAAACATTATTATAGAATAAGATGTTCTATTTTCTCTAAGATTAGATTCCCTATTAAAAATAGATTCGTATGAATCACTATTCAGCTTGCACAAATTCGTCACTTTGAAGTTAATAAAATGAATAGTGGGGACAAACGGGGAAGTGAGTGCGGAGCGAGCACCACTCGACGTTTTATTGCGTGGCACTCTTTGTTCCAGCTGAAAGTAGCGTTTATTGCGCCAAGGACGTATATACTTTCACGTTAGATTGAATATAGAACTCATTGCACGGTTCGTGAAACTTGCAATAGGAAAAGATGAAAATCATATGCATAAAAAATTCTTCATCGATTAGATAACCAAAAATTAATATTGTTAATTTCTTTATCTGATTAATCAATAAACCAATAAAATAAATTTTGATGATAATTTAGTTCATTCAATATATATTATACATTATACACAATATATATTATATAAATATAAATTATCATTAAAAAATTTCTTGAAATTTATTTTAAATAAAAATAAAATAATATAATAATAATATATATCATGTTTTATATGATATTATATGATATTATATTTTATATGAATTTTTAATATTAATTTTTTTTTTTTGAAAATCTAGTAAATCTACAGAAAAAGTTGCGCATTAAATCAATTGAAACTACTTTCATTTATTTCTGAAAATTTTTATTTTTTATAATGTGAAATACTTAAAATCTTTTAAAATCTATTTAATGGAGTTTTTTCATTTTGTTACAAGTTGTTTTAAAACGAATCTAAAATAATGATTTAATGATTTATTTCAATGAATTTTAAAATCGACGATTATTTTAAAGATGCCAACGTAATGCGAATTCCTACGCCTTTCTTGTAAATTTATTTTGCAGATGAAGGAAGAGGATGACTAGTATGATGCTATTTTAAATTATATTAATATGCAAATTTATCAATCGAAAATATACATTGATTATTTCTTTTGCATTTTAGATTATCGATTCATTAAAAATATATATACATATATAATATAATATATATTTTTAATGAATCGATAATCTATATATTATATATATATATATATATATA